CTTCACTGTTTAACGCAATGACTAATATTAGCCTGATAATGCCCAAGAGCTGAAATCCGTTCAGCGCAGCGCTAGTACAGAGAATCGTCCTAATTCAAGTCACTGTGCACAAATCATGTTAATAATCAAAAAGAACTGAGGATACGAATACTGGGAAATAATGGTACCTGCCGCACCAGTAACGAGGAATAAAAAAGAACTGGAGCGTTAATCATACAGAAATCAGTAATTAATTCGAATACACAAAGCAGTGAAAAACAAAATAAGGGCACAGTTCTGGTGAACACACGTATCAGTACCTCTAACACCAAAATGACAGTGATAGGCAACAGATTATTAGAAGCAGCCGAGGTAACCAACCGAGTTTCGTGGTAATAATCGCTGAAAAGCACACACCGAGCTAATGATATTGGATTTAAGAAATCGAGAGGAACCAGAAATGTAAGCTCTACCCAAAGACTAATCATAATCAGGCTGCAGCCCGATTTACCACCTATCACTGCAAATAAAGCTGACATCATACAGTGGCGCATAACGTCTGCTGCTTGACCCGGAGTTCTTTAAAAAAGGAACAGAATTCCTATATACATTGCCACTCAATCAGAAGGATAAAGATGAAGCCAGAAATGACTCGTTGAGACTTTCATGCATTTTTCTTGGAAGCCATTTGACTGCTCGTGTTTGCTCGTGCATGCAATCCCGTGCCATTCTGCAATGCAAATCTCATATGCAAATGTCTTACAAATTCTCGAAATTCCTACAAATCTGAAGCACCAAAATTCGCTAAAACGGGCGCTGTGCAGCCTTCGGTATTTGAGACATGTCAAGCGCAGTTAGACAGTCCTACGCCCTCGACAAAATGACGCTTCAAATGCAGTTCATTTGCTACACCCTTTCAACAGCCATCTTCTAAATTGGTGCACGAGCGCCCATTTCAGTTCGCTGGCAGTATTCGCATCGCAAGTCGCATGTTTACAATCACAGCTGCATAATGAGGACTTAAACTTTCATTTTCTACATGACTCGTGTTGTCTAGTGTGCATGCCTAAATAAGCAATCTGAATCCTGCTTTTTTTTTAGCATAAGCACTTAAATATGGGGCGGGTGTCAGGCAAGACTGCAGACTGCTCCTCTTTTTAAGGCTTATTTGGAAATTGGCTGAATGTTGTCAGGACCTCTTAACTCCGCCAACAGTGATTTACTTTTGATACGAATCAGAAGAGAATGAAGAGCCTTCAGCAGAAAAAAAAAAGTCACACTGAACTGTAGCGTTAGAATGATGCCAGCTCAGTGAAAAAAAAAAAAAAAAAAAGGGAAAGCAGGAAAAACTTAAATACCTGCGTTAAACGATGCCCAATAGCGACCGCTCGGGACATTCCTTCCTGCGTCAATGAAGATAAGAAAGTATGCCATGCCCAGGTAACAACATCATCAACCATTACACCAATTTCTCTCAAATTACCACTATACCTTGAATAGGCCCAAGTTCCGAGAGCACTCACAGCTGAAAGAAAAAAAACGATGTTTCTCACGTCTTCCAGTCAAAAAAAAGGTATTTAGAAAATTTCGCAGTACAAATATATCAAATTTTTTTTGAAAAACAAATCGAGGCGTTTTCCAGGAATAAACGGCTCTGCTTGCCTGAAACTCTGAAATGCTGTAGCAACTACAAAAAATCGCTTACGCTACTAATGAAACTTAACGATCGCCCATACACAAGCAAAACTCTTAAAATGCCAATGCCAAAGCGACAACAGTCTTTAGTATGGCAACAAAAACAGCATCTGTTGCTGTTCCGCGCTCTCGCTCAAATCAAAAATGGTAGGTAAACAGCGAACTAACCAATGCAAAGCGCTACAGAAAATAAGCCAGCAATGGTATCCAAGCCAAGCAGCTGGAAGAATTCCTGCATGATATAATCGAAAATCATAAATGTCACAAGCACAGCAGGCGTTCGCATCGATTTGAACAGATTTTTACTGTTATTCACTTTGATAAATCGTTCGTACTGCTCCTTCAAAAAGCATGCATGCAATGCCAATCAATCAAACACACATAAAATACACACACACACACA